CTGGGAATCTGGTCAGTTGCTGGGAGCGTGCCTGCACCCTCTGACTCCCCTGCAGGTGCGTGCAGGGCTCTCCCACATGGGCCTTTGTTTTGGGTTTCTTTTACTCTTTTTCCTTTCTGTTCTTCATTGATATATCTTCAAGTTCACTGGCCTTTTCCTTTGTAGTCTCTTGTATGCTATTAAACTGATCTAGTAAATTTTTATTTAAGATATTTTATTTTTCAGTCCCATATTTTCCATTAAAAATTTCCCATTTCTCCCAAGATTCCTCATCTGGGCAACGATTATGACTGTTTTTCTTTAGATCTTGAATGCATTTAGACTCATTGCTTTAAAGTCTTGTATGATAATTGTAACATCTCTGTTATCTTGGGGTCTATTTCTATTGATCGCCTTTTCCCCCATTGACTGTGGGTTATATTTTTCTGTTTCTTAGGAAGTCTTTTAATTTTTTATTGTATATTGGACATTTTGGATGATACATTTTATGGCTGTATATTCTGCAATCTTCCACTGAAGAGTGTTCAAATTTATTCTATCAGGAAATTAAAATACTGGCTGATTGCCTTGTACTTGTGGTGTTTTGATATTATGCTTTGTTAGGTCACTATCAGGCCCTGAGAACGCTTCATGGGGTTGCCTGGGATATACACTGGAAGTTCAACCACTCTGGGCCCACCTTTCTAGGCTGAGCCCAACACCCATGTCTGTCCTACTTCCTGCTCCCTTCTGAACTCTCAAACAAGTTCATTGAGGCTTTGGTCCCATAGTTTCAGCCTCAGCTCTTTGTTTTAATGCAAATCCTTTGTTATGGGACATAATATTTACTTCTAAGCTGTGGGCCTTCTGGGGTTTTAGTGGAAAGCCTAAGATCTATACCAAACCCCTCTACTTTGGCAGGATTCCAATGATAAACTATTTACTCGGTTGTAGGCAACAGCTGAAATCTGTTTACCTTTTTTTTCAGGCTTTCACCTGTAAATAACAGAGAGCTCAACTGCACTGGCTTAAACTAATAAGAGTTTATTTTTCTTAAAAAAAGAAATCTACAGATGGATGGCTGCTGGTATTGGGATCAGTGGTATAATAGTTTCATAGCTGGACTGCTATTATTCTTCTGTTTTTTCTTCCTGCTCTACCCTTAGTCTTCTCATTGATATTTAACACAGGAAGAAGTAAAAAGGGAATAGGCCAATAATGTTATTCTGCTCATACTGGAAAAGAAAAAACTTTCCCAGCAACCTCCTCTGCATGTTTCTGTCAGAATCTCACTAGTCAATAAGGAGTGCATGGTCACCCTAATGAGATGGGGATCTTGAGTGTAGTCAGAGTAGGGTGAAGGCCTCTGGAAAAAGCAAGGCAGTATATTTACAGTCAGAGCAATGTAACAATGTAAAGAAGTCCCTATCGAAACTCTGTGTTAAGCATTATGCAAAGTTAAGGTCACATTAAAGGTCAAAAGGCCAGGAGCAACTTGGCCTGGAATGTTTGAGTGTCTGCAAATAAAGAAGGTACCTCAGCATAACCCGTGACTTCACTGTAAATAACCCTAGCAAACAGACAACAACCCAGCCCACCTTAGGGGCAGGGCAGGTGGTACAAGTCCACACCTTAAGCCCTCAGTTCCCCAAAATCCTCAACTACCTATAAATCTCCTAGACAATGCACCACCCTGGGCTCTCTTGGGTGAGCCAGGAGCTCTTTCCTCTCACTTTATTTCTAAATAAAAGCCTCTACCCTGGCTCTCCTACCTTGGGTTTTTGCCAAATTTATTCTTCAACTCCAGAAACAAGAACCCTGGCATCACTAACTTGAAGGGAAGCTGGAGAACAGGATTTCATAAATGGCCAATACTGTTGTTGGGAAATCCAATTCAGGGAGGTTCCCCTGTGTACGTGGTGAGACTTCAATCTGGAAGAGGTTCTCAACTTTGATCAAGAAAGAATTCATGAGCAGGTTGGGCAGGTACTAGCAAAGAGTAGTTTAATAAAGCAAAGTACACACTCAAGGAAGGAGTGTGGGCATGCTCAAGAGGTGAGCAGCACAGTCGGGTTTGGTTGAGTAGCTAGAAGTTAAGTAAGGGGTGGAATATTCACTGGGATAGGTGGTGCTTTCTCAGAGGGAGGAGATTTCTGGGAAATAGAGTGACACCCTGTTTTTGTCCTTAGATGGTCTGCCTTGAAACTGTCATGGCACCAAGGGGTATGATTTTTAGGCTGCCAATGAGCATATAATGTATTCTGAGGTAAAATCAGAATCAGCTTCTCTGTGTTGGAACCAGTCAGTTTTGACTGCTCTATTATCTATACCATCACTCCCCACATCCCATAAGAAGAGTTTACACAGGATGTTTAGAATACAAACAAACATCTAACCAAATGTAACCACCAACCAAAGTCCTCAATTCCATCACTGCTTATATATGGCTATCTACCTAGTATAACAAGACCAGTTAGCAATTTTAGATAACTTTTTTGATATGTAATCATTTGACTAGGAGTCTGAGGCATTTATTTATTTAGATGTTATTTTTATTGAGCTACAAATTAGTTCTAAGTATGGAACCTAATGATTTAGTATTTGTATATACTGTAAAATGATTACCAAAATAAATCTAGTTAACACCTATTTTCATTCATAGTGACAATTATTTTCTTGAGATGAGAATTTTTAACATTTGCTCCCAGCAACTTTCAAATATGCAATACAGTATTATTAGCTATAATCACCATACTGTACATTGCTGCGAGGTAATAGAAAATATATATTGGCTCCTGCTCCTGATTCCTGGCACAGAGTTCCTAAAATTCTTGTAATGTTCTAAGTGATAAGAGCACTAGGAACATCTGTTGTTTTAATATTTGGTCTCTGATCTCTGTTCCTGCAAGAGCTCCTAAAATCTTTGCCTGGGTGATAGAAGTGTCTTTTATTCTAATGAGCTGACTCTGGGTCGGCTCCTGGATGACTCTTGAATGAGGGCTTGTCACCAGAAAGACCAAGCCACGATTAGAAGCTTGGAGTTTTTAGTCCCACCTCCCATTTTCGTGAGAAGGGAGAAGGGCTGAAAACGGAGTTAATGATCCATCATGCCTATGTGATGAATCTCCATAAAATCCCAAAGATATAGAGTTTGGAGAGCTTAAAGGTCAGTGAACACCACGAGGATGACACAGGGATTTTTTAAATTATACTTCTATTCCAACTCCACAAGGATAGAAGCTTCTATACTTGGGACCCTCCCAGACCTCACCCTGTGTATCTCTTCATCAGGCTGTTCATCTGAATTGTTTAATAAACTGGTAAATGTAAGTAGGTACTTCCCTGAGTTCTGTAAGCCATTCTAGCAAATTAATTCACCCCAAGGAGGAGATCATTGGAACCTCTGATCGTAGCTGATTGCTCAGAAGCACAAGTGATAACCTGGGCTTAAGACTGGCATCTGAAGTGTGTGTCTGTGTTGGCAATGGGGGGCAGGCAGGCAGTTTTGTGGGACTGAGTCCTTAACCTTTGGGATCTGATGCTCTGGGAAAACAGTATCAGAGTTGAATTAAATTATAGGATGCCCAGCTGGTGTGCAGAGAATTGCTTGATATAGGGAAGAAACCCTACACATTTGGTGACCAGAAGTGACATGTTTTGTGTCACTAGTAAAGAAGACACAGTAGGGAAGAACTAGGTTTTTCCTGTATAAAAAGGAAGAAACTGAGTTTTTGCATTTGATTATATTCCCATAACTTATTTTATAATTAGCAGTTTGTACCCTTCACCTAGTTTGCCCACACCTCACCTGTGAGACATTTATTTTTTATTTGTAAATCATAGCAAAATAATAAATGTTTTTAAGCAAACCTCAACCAGTATGAAATCAAATAAAGTAGGAAGGTAAATTCTTCATTCCTTTTATTCCCCGGGATTAACTGCTCCCCAGAATTAACTACTATTGAGGCTGGTATATATCCTTTTATAAAGATATATAAAAAGATATTTTATAAAGACATAACCATATACTGCACATGTATACAGACATATAAAGAGTTTCTTTTCTCAAAAATGGGGATTAAACTATATATATTGTTCTGCAGCCTGCTTTATTCATGGACATATTTCCATGGTGTCACTTATTGTGAATGTCAATATTTATATTGTATTCTTTTTAACAGTGTTTAAAAACATTTATGATATTTTGGTGTATTGTTATTTGGTATCCTGATACAAAATATTTAATGTATTATAAAATATATATACAGACAGATCCAAAAAGATCTGTATGCCCACTGGTCTTAAAGGAGTATTATAAACACCATTAAAGAACTCTATATATTAAATTTCTTCCTAGACTCACTTCCTTTACTGTCTGCAGAAGTACTACCAAATTCATTTATGTTGTTATATTTTATATTAAATGATATTCTTTTTAAATTTCCTATTAATGATTATTTGTATGTATACCTTATTGTTGTGAACATTCTTGTATACAACTCCTGTTACTCATGTACAGGAGTTTCTTTTGAGTGCATTCCTGAGGTGGAATTGCTGAGTCATAAAAATGTGCATGTTCAATATTACTGAATAATACCATATTTTTTTGTACAGTGTTCCAATTACTGTATTTTAGAAGGCTATTTTATCAACACTGAATTATTTTTTTAAAAAGTATATGGTCTAACATAGTCATTAGAAAATTTGTTAGCTTATAAAGATGTTATCTACAGAAAACCTTCAGGAACACTAGTATTATCTGTATTACTTTTTATAGCTAATTATGAATAAAATTTGCAAAATAATTTGCTAATGTTTTTATTACAACTTTGCTGCATTGTATTTGATTCATGTGTGCTATTTAACATTATTCCAGAAGAATAATAATGAGGCATATAATAATTTGTTTATATAGTTATGCTTTGTCTGGCAAGATTACTTCCTGATTGTTAGTTACAAGTGGTTGTGACCACCTATTTAGCTTCCTTTGGACTTTTTAAAAAATGTGTTATGTGCTCTAGGTAAACAGTATTTACAAGACTGCCATCTGGAGCCCACATGGGTAAGTACACGTGTGAATGTGAGGTGCATACAAGGACCATGAGTAGCAGACAAGATTTTGCTTAGTATAAATTTTTTATTTGAAATCAATTTAATATTAAACATCTATGAAATATGAATAACAAAAATGAACTTTTCTACTTTCAGTTTATTGTACTTGTTTTTTTTCCCCATTGAAATAAACTCTCAATTACCATTTATACTTTTGGTGTTTAACATCTTGTTTCCTTTATTATACTTATTTCTAAATTACTACGAAATACAAGAGGTTCATGACTAGATTGTTACTTTAGACCCCCTTGTTTTCTTTCCCCTATTAATTGTTTAATGTTTTGCCTTATATTTCAAACATCAAAATTTCTCCTCTATCCTTCATCAGAATACTCTCTGGCATATCTGGGAGAAATTAAAGTGGCTGTGCCCCAAACCTGCAAACATTTGCTTACTACTGAAATCTGAGAATATTGAACTGCAAAGGGTACATCTGACCAAAGAGCATCAGGACTCTTGTTTCCGGATAGAATTGTGGTTTTTGAGGTTCTGTGACAGAGGGTAGGTGCTGCGTCCAAGTGCCCTGTTCCAGCAGTTGCATCTCCAGAGCCTGAGGGACCAGCTTGGAGGGAGTCTACAGAGCTAATTGGCAGCATCTGAGGTTGCAGGGTTGGGTTAGGGTGGGACTTCACTGCCCAGTTCCAGCCGCTGCACCCAAAGGTATATGTTTGGGGGCAATCACCCCTTATTTACTGTAGTCGACGTTAAAGCAGCTCTGCAAATGAACCTATAAAAAAAAGATGACAGAAAAGGGTGTGTGTGTGCAAAGATTCATTTTGTCACTCATGGTTTTCTGCATTTTAGTTGCGAATATAAGTAGTTTCTGAGGTTCTCTTGGGACCTACATTTCTATAAGACCGTAATGTCAAACGTGGATTTCAAAAAGGCTCCTCAGGGGCTTTCGTTACTTGCAAAATCAGCGCAGAGTTCCCTCGCTTCTTTCACATATCCTTACCCCCAGCGGTGGGGGCGGTAGAGGGCTCTTCTGAAGGTCCGCAGCGCTTTTGCTCCTTGGCTAAATTGAGGAGGTGCGGTCGCGGCTTTGCCATGACGCGACCTCAGCCGAGAGCGCGTCTAGGTCTGCGGGCCCGAATCCCCGAGGGAGGACGGGGCGGGCCCAGGGAGCCCCTCCCCGGGGCGGGGCCCAGGCTTCTTCCCAGCTTGGCTCTGCAGAGCGAATATCTGCAGTCTCTAGGTTAGAAAAACACTTGCAAAACCGATCAGAAGCCGCCTCACTCATCAGCAGGTCTCCTGTTCCTGTTTGGTAAAGGCTGTGCGGGTCTGCACAAGTCGCCGCCCTCGGAACTCCGCGCCCGAACGTCGCGGCGGACCGCTGCCCCTGCAATCGGAAGGTTGCAGTCGCGGGGGCGCTGGAGGCGGTGACGGCGGCCCAGGAAGGAGCAGCGCCCGGGTAAGTCTGGGCATGCGTTTATCTCCAAGCACCCAACTTTCTGATTTACTGTGTGCCTTTCCCACACCCGGGGGCCTCTGTGGTTCTACATGTATTTGTCTTAATAGGGGTAGGTAAACTATTTCACGGGACTTCAAGGCTTTCTTTTATTTCTGAGTAGTTTTCACTTGTTTTATTCCACTGCTGCCTTTTACCAAACAGCATGAATGAATGATGCAATCCTGCATTAGTATGAGATTAGGAGTATCTCCGAAATTTAGAGTTGGAGTGTCTGATTTTGCTATCTTCTTTTCAATTAGAATTAATTTCCAAAAGTACTTACCAGATACATTGTTGTAAACATCTTCAAGTAGAGAAATCATTCATTCATTAAAGTTACTTACTTTATTTTCTTACATCTGAGTTGCACATTGTAGTTTGCACTTTAAATATTTGACTGACCGGTACTGAAATGAGGATCAGAGAAGAAAATAATAAAATCAGGATTTCTCTTTATTACAACTGCCTGGTATGTTTTCAGTATAATAAAGATCGTAGTCCTGTCACTTTCATGATGGTGAAATAAAGTAGTCTGAATGTTTTAAACTTTCAAATAATTTGATATATGCTTAATTTTTTTTTTGCTATCATTAATCTACAATTACATGAGGAACATTATGTTTACTAGACTCCCCCCATCACCAAGTCCCCCCCACATACCCCATTACAGTCACGGCCCGTCAGCATAGTAAGATGCTGTAGAATCACTACTTGTCTTTTCTGTGTTGTACAGCCCTCCCCGTGCCCCTTCCCCACATTATACACTGCTAACCATAATGCCCCC